ACTCCTGCATTACCGCATCAAAAGTATGCTAAAAATACGAAAAACAACTTCTAACCAGTGAGGGAACAGGCATGCTCCTTTACTTGGCATGGATTTCCCAGTAAATGAACAGTTTGTGCTAATATGTTGACACTTTAATTTTCAATTCATGATTACAAAAAAAAGTTAGCATTTTCCAAGCATTTATATGTTATAATTTCAAGAATAGGCTTGTTTTTAAATATTTGTAAGGCTTATAAATTTATAAGCATTAAAAAATAACCAAAATTACGTGTTCCTTTACTGGGTGTTCATTCACAGGTAAGAGCTGTTCCTTTACTTGGTCTTCTTACTACTTGTTATTTGAACCTCCAAAACTTTAAAATAATATTATGTAAGTTCTCTCAGTTTTTTTACATAATTTTCAATTAGTAACAAATATGTTGACACTGTCATTTAACTAAAATTACGAATTTTGAAATTAATATGATTTTTTAAAACGCGCGCGAAGCTTACGTGTTCCTTCACTGGTTAGTTTACCCTACTTTTGAATTCCTGATTTCTCCTTTCATTTTGGTTACAACTTTTTTAATCATCCTGTACGTTTTATTTCTTGTATAGAAAGTATGCGACGATCCGAAGAGTATGAAGAAATCTGTAAGAATAGCTGTGGCAATAAACCTTGCTTGTAAGTAATATTAATTAGCATAATTATTATTCCATATCAATGACCTCATGAAATTACGTATTGTTTGGAACTCTAAGTCACTGGATAAAAACTCAAAACAATCTAACATTTTAAATATTGTAACCGTCGTTGAACAGCCGACCCAATTTTCGAGTTTACGACTACTAATGTTCAACTCCGTAGCCTCGTAATTTTAAAACCAATCAAGAAGACAAGGGAACTCCTTGATCAAGGATTGGGAGAAATTTGTCTTCGTGGAGAACTTTTTGATGGAACTAACCCGCATTTACTTTACATAAAGACCACGAAACTCTCCCACGGTTAGCCTGACATCAGTGGGACTTTTCCTTTCTCCAATTTTTGGACATGTACCTAAGTCGTTATGGATCCTTTACCATATAGCCCAAAGCTTGGCTACTGGTCCGGCTCCACCCCAGCCTAGGAACGGGCTGTCAAGGGGACTCTAACCCATGATCCGTCTACCACTGAGGATGTTTTACGTCAGCACTGTGGTCGGTGCAAGCCGGATGTGGAATTCGTTTTGACCTGCCATCGACGGGATCAAACTCCGGTTCACCTCATTGGAAGGCGAACGCTCTATCCCCTGAGCCATCACGGTTCAGATTACGAATATTAAAAAGAATAGATTATTGAATTTTGTTTTATAACTTAAATAATTTAAAATAATGAAGCCCGTTGGCCGAATAGTAGAACTTCACGCTCCCTTTTCACGGGTCTGTTCTATCTTTGGAACGGGGTAAGTCTACAATCCCTCCAAGGGATCTGTAAAATGAGTACTAAACATGCTGGGGCACTAAAAACTGCGGTTTTCATTCCGTTTGGCTTACCACAGGCACCTCAAAACCCATGGTCAAGAAGACTGAAATGGTCAAGAGGAGACTGAAGTGGGCCTTGGCCGTCCATGGACTGTCACGTCTCTGAATTTAGTTTTAAGTTTTTAAAATAATAGAAAGGAAAACAAAAAGTAAAACCTTTATATTTATTTTATAATCGTGATCGATACACCACATAAATAACAAAAACAGGACCGGTTAAAAGTAATATAAAGTTTTTTGTAGAAGGTAAATTAATGATAGAAGAAAAAAATTGCGGTAGCCGATGAGAATGGCTGTAGTCAAAGGATGTAAATTGAAGCAATATTTGTCTCCCACACCTGGATTGACCCAAAATGTATTCTGTTCTAAACTGAACTTGATTTGATCACCTTGGCTTTTTAACGCCTCATATTTCTATCTTCCATTTTTGAGCCGTGATGGCTCAGGAGATAGGGAGAATCGGGTTCGAATCCCACTCGATACGAATTCCGCATCGGGCTTGCACCGACCACAGTGTTCGATGTTTAAACAATGTTAGATGTTTCAATGTTGAATGTTCAAACATAAGAGAACATGTCTAAAAAATAAGAAAATAAATATCCATGGTGCGTGGCGTTTTTAAAAAGTGCTTGAAGATGCTTATTTTCGATTTTCGTTTTTTAAAAAACCTTAAAGGTGCTCTTTTTATAGGGTGTTTTTGAAAAGTGCTTAATTTTCCCTTTTCGAAAATGAGATTTTTTTTCTTTCCCATGTCAATTTTCTCCAAGGGGATAGAGCGTTCGCCTTCCAATGAGGCGAAACGGGTTCGAATCCCAGTCGATACGAATTCCGCATCGGGCCCGCACCGACCACAGTGCTGACGGGAAATATCCTTAGTGGTAGACGGACTTTCCGTCAGGCTAACCGTGGGAGCTTCTCATAGTCTTCCTCTCCATGTAACGCAAATGTGGATCATCTCCCTCAAAAAGTGCCCCATGAAGGCAAATTTCTCCCAATATTCGATCCAGGAGTTTCCTTGTCCTCTGGATTGGGTTCAAAATTACAAGGCTACAGAGTTGAACATTAGTAGTCGTAAAGCCATAAAATTGGGTCGGCTGTTCAACGACGGTTATAAAATATAAAATATCTTCCATTTTTTTCGTAAGCATGAACGTTTTCTAATATATCTAATTTATTCTTATTTCAACATTTTTATGATGTTGTTGATTTTAAAAAAAAAATATTATGTTCATATAACGCCTTAACTTTCATTTTTCTTATGAGGCAAGTGATGTTTTTTTCTTATTATAACTTATTAATTCTGTATAATTTGATAAAAAATTTGTTATACTATATTATTTTTATAATCGCTTACATTAAAACTAACATTTATTTTATAACTTTTAAAATCTTTTCATTCAAAAGTAGTTTTTGTCTGAAATATTCTAATATATATATTTTAATATATCTAATCTATTCTTATTTCAACATTATTCTAATATATCTAATCTATTCTTATTTCAACATTTTTATGATGTTGTTGATTTTAAAAAAATATTATGTTCAAATGACTCCTTAACTTTCATTTATCTTATGAAGCAAGTGATGTTTTTTTCTTATTTTAACTTATTAATTCTGTGTAATTTGATAAAAAATTTGTAATACTATATTATTTTTATAATCGCTTACATTAAAACTAATATTTACTTTACAACTATTAAAATCTTTTCATTCAAAAGTAGTTTTTGTCTGAAATATTCTAATATTTCTAATCTATTCCTATTTCAACATTTTTCTAATATATCTAATCTATTCTTATTTCAACATTTTTATGATGTTGTTGACTTAAAAAAATATTATGTTAAAATACCTCTTTAACTTTCATTTATCCTATGAGGCAAATGAGGTTTTTTCTTATTTTAACTAATTAATTCTATATAATTTGATAAAAAATTTGTAATACTACATTATTTTTATAATCGCTTACATTAAAACTAACATTTATTTCATAACTCTTAAAATCTTTTCATTCAAAAGTAGCTTTTGTCTGAAATATTCTAATGTATCTGTTCTAATATATCTAATCTATTTTTAGTTCAACATTTTTCTAATATATCTAATCTATTCTTATTTCAACATTTTTGTGATGTTGTTGATTTTAAAAAAATATTATGATCAAATACCTCCTTAACTTTCATTTATCTTATGAGGCAAGTGATGTTTTTTTCTTATTTTAACTAATTAATTCTATATAATTTGATAAAAAATTTTTAATACTATATTATTTTTATAATCGCTTACACTAAAACTAATATTTATTTTATACCTTTTAAAATCTTTTCATTCAAAAGTAGTTTTCGCCTGAAATATTTCTGAAGTAAATCTGAGTTTTATAAAATCATCATCATCAGCATTGGCACGACAGCCCTTTCTGAGCCTGGGCCTTTCTCAGAAGCTTTTCCCGTTCTGCCCTTCTCCCAGCAATTGATTTCCAGTTTTTTTACTTTTAGGATAGCAAAATCCTCATCCGCACAGTCTGTCCTTCTCTTTTTGGGCCTTCCTCTTGACCTTTTTTTGGAGGGGGTTGCATTAAAGACTCTTAATGCTGTACGTTCTGGGCTCATTCTCACTACATGCCCGGCCCATCTCATTCTACTTAGTTTAATAGATTTAATGATATCATCTATTAAAGATCTTATATATTTCAAAATTATATCTTTTTCTCCAGTTGTTGTTATCAAGGATAGCGCCAAAGATGGTTCGTAGAACCTTCCTTTCGAACTTCTCTTCCCTNTTCCCTTTTTGTTAAAGCTAATAACTTCTCTTCCCTTTTAAAAAATAACAAAATTAAATAACGACAGTCAGATTTGATGAATTCTTATTATTTTCAGTGAAAAAACATATGAAGTGGAGATATTAAAGAAAGGTCAAATAACGGTATGTTATTAAATGTTTATAAAATGCTTTGATTTATTTTAAAATAAATTTATCACTGCGATTTAGGAATAATTTGTTGAAAAATAATGTAAGTGCATAAAATTGCGGGGAGACAGGCATTTCCGAATCTGTAACCGAAAGTTGTAAATCCTGTATGTCATGAACGGAGTTGAATAGCCATAGACTTATACAGTCCATAGACAACTTAATAGACGCACTACAAAATTTCATGTAAAATCTTTATTATCAGATGATACTGTACAACAGGGGTGTCAAACTCGCGGCCCGCGATGAAGATTTTTGTGGCCCAGTCAATATATCCGAAACAAAGTAAAAATAAAATGGAAATGTGAATTAGAAACGAAACCAGCACATAAAATTATAATGTACTTTATTTATAAACTATGCGGACCATTTTAAATTGTACCAGCGAAAATGTAAAATTCTAATTGGCTCAAATGGAGTCCGTTTCACACTAAGCTATCAGTTAGATAGTACATATTCAGGTTTATCCTACTGTAGCGAGGTACGTTGGTTATCTTGCTCCAAGGTTCTCAAACAATTCTAGGATGCGAAAGAAGAAGTATGTAAGTTTTTACAAACTAAAAATCAAGATACAAGCTTGTTCTCTGATCAAATATGGTTGCAAGATTTATCTTTTATGGTTGATGTAACCAAACACTTATCAGTTTTAAATTTGTTGTTACAGAACAAGGATCAGCTCATTACGAACATGTTTGACATAATTAAAGCATTCAAATGTAAACTATTTCTTTGGGAAAGGCAACTGAAAAATGAAGATTTAACGCACTTCCCAACGTGCTACAAAAACAAATCTAGTTCAGATATTACTGCATCGTATAAAAAATAAGCAGAAAAAAATTTTTAATTCTTAGAACAGAATTTGAAACAAGATTTAAAGATTATAATTCTTTGGAAGACAAATTTTGTTTGTTTTCTTTGAATTGCTCAATAAATATAGACTCAGTACCCAGTTATATGCAAAGGGAAGCGATTGAGATTCAGTGAGACTCAAAGTTGAAGGCAAAATTCATTGAAGTGGGAGCGCTTGAATTTTACGAATATTTACCGGCAAGGTTTGAAAATACGCGAAAACTCGCATATGAAATTATTTCCATGTTTGGAAGTACTTATCAGTGAGAGCAATTATTTTCTGTTATGAATGGAAATAAATCTCCTTTCCGAAACCGTATTAATAACCTTGGTCAATTTTGAAAGTAGTCTCGACCAATAAAATTTCTCCCGAAATGGAAAAGATAGTAGCAGAGAAAAGATGTGAAGTATCAGAACGTGAACAATAATTTAACTTTATATATGTTTATTACAAGGTACTATTCAAAATAAGAGTTTCTATGAGCATTGATTTTTTTTTTTGCGGCCCACCTAAAGTTAAGCATTGTTTATTTGGCCCAAGTTAGATTTTGAGTTTGACACCCCTGCTGTACAGCCTAATGTTTTTACGCGGTTTGCATTTGTTTACGTTCGCGTATCAATTGGTTCACATCGCAATGCAATACGTTAAAAATAAATACAACTGGGAAATATATAAAAAGACTCTTAGATTAAAACCCGTTACACGTACGTTTAAAGATAAAAGTATTGCATATAAATTCGTGCAAAACGTGCAATTATTAAAATACTACTGCATCTAATAATTTGATCTAATTATTATAGTATACTAATATAATACCTGATATGATAAATATTCTATGTTTATATAATATATCGTCCAATTTATCCAATCGCCGCATTTACATTGTATATCGTCTAATTTTACCAACTGATAAAATAAAAGCTTCGCGACCTCTACTGAGCATATTTTTTTATACATGTGCATTCTAAAACATATGTGCAAAGGGTTGTGTTTATGGAACAAACTTTATTGATTAAATAAAATAGTTGTGTTGAAGATGTATTACTTATAGTATGGCTTTCAGGAGAACTCCTCTAGACACCCGTCTCGCGTCGTGGCGGGTACTATGGTTACGAGGAAAGGTCACTTCGAATAGGGGTGTGGAGTGAATAGTTTTGTCTTAATCTTAACGTAGGTCGTCGTAAGTAAACCAATCGACACCTTCTTTCCTTCATTTCACCCCCATTAGAAATGGGCTCTCGCTTGTTACCATAGCAACAGACAGCCCCAGACTTTCAGTCTGGAGGTGTTCTCTTCAAAATCGCACTATAGATGTATCAATTGATAATCATTTCATTCTCTTGGCGTTATTTTGTCACGATGCTTAATCGAATTTCTCAATTCCAGTGTGATTCCTCGACAATTGATTTGATGACGGAGGATCCGGAAGAAGTATTATGCTTGTAAGTTTCTTCGAATAGCTTATTATAAGTGAAATTTTTTACGAGAAAATAGTGCTTGTTATCATTATAGGAATATTGACAAAATAAGCTATTTCAAATTCATAGGGACATCAAGATTGTAAATAAAATAAATAATCCCAAAAAACTGGAGCTGTAAGATATTACCTGATGAAAAACTTAATTCGCTTCAAAAATATATGAATAGGAAATAATTATTTCCACCCCTATCACATCAGCTCATCTTCTGCTTGATTTCGGTGATCTGCTGGGAACCGTGAGAGATCATTTCGGAGCACATTCTGTATCCCTTTGAGCGTTTTGTATAATTTAATCATAGAGTAGAAAACTTTTTATACGAATTTGCAACTTTTCTTTTTCTTCTAGGGTTAACAATATCTCTCTGACAATAACATTCAATCAATTCTTGTTGACAAAAGTGACGACGGTACCAAGAATACAGGTACGTTTGCATCGCAAAATTTTATCAATGAATATACGTAGCATAAGAAAGCTAGCTTCCATAGACATAAGATAAACCAGTCTGTGTCAGGGACCAAGCGGTCCCTGTGTATAACGGCAAAAAACAACATTTAGGGACAAAGCAGCAAAGTTTCGTGAGACGGGTTTTTTGCACTCTCTTCCTCCCCCCCCCCATCCCCNCCCCCCCCCCCCCCTCCCCCCCATCCGCTACTGGAGTTGGAAAAGAGAAAAAAAAAGTTTCATTTTTTTAAAATTTATTGTTGATTTGTTCTGCATTTTTACACTATTGATAAACAGTATCGCACTGTTAATTATGATATTTCTTAAGAATAAGTTTATACCATCCATCTTGATTAAATCTGCTAACACATTTTGACATAGAAAGAAAGAATGAAATGGAGGTTTGAGGGAGGTAGCGTGCGCTACCATACAGTAGAGTTATCACACAAGTGACGTATAGCTCGTTCACCAGGAATTGGCTCCTCCCCCTCGGACGAAGAGTTCATTTAAGTGCGGGAGTAAGAGGAGAAACGTCTCCTCATTCGATAATTGAGGCGACCCTTAATGCGCGCCAAACGCAAAGAGCAAATTCTTTTTCAGTCACTTACACCGCTTTATCATCTGCTATTACACCATTCGCTACTCTAGCTAATTAACTATATTGCAGCAAAATGTCTCGAAAAGAACAAAGTATTCACTCAAACGACAGAAATATCGCCAAATTTATGAAATATTTCATGTTAAAATAATGCTCATAAAAATTGCGAAATAAATATTTTAGTCATACGATCGACAAATAGCAACCTTGTTCAGGATTTTTCGCATCCTTCTCCCAAAAATAGCGAAATAGAATCGTCGGATGTCACGTGATGAAGGCAGAGCCAATGCCAACTCCTGGTGAGCGAACTATAATACCTTCCTACTGTCACACTACTTGTTATGCGCATGCGCTGGATCTTAGTAGATATGATACTCTGTTAAATTTGAGTGTCTTGCTCACTCTGAAAGTTGTTTTTCCGCCTTAGCATACCACACCGAGCACGTGCTAGCTTTAGTGACGTATTCGAAGAACTGTATTTCTTTTAACTGCGAATCTATTTTGTAGTCTTCGTAGCTGAGCAAAATTAATTCCCCATTGAATTCGAAGAGGACAATTCTCCAAACGGTTTCCTTTTCGTAACTGCCAATAAGGAAAGTAATTTGTTTCTAAAAGGTTGAGAAATCAAGGTTGTTCTGATTTCCTCGGGAAAGCATCCCCGTACAACTTTCTATAACTTATCGGAAAATTTAACTCATTCTGAATTTTTTTACAAGAGTTTGACATAAACACAGGCAAACACTTTACTATTAATTGAATCAAACTAATTCCTATGATTTAATTTTCTTTACAGCTGAGTGTTTTTTTATAACCGACGCTGAACAGCTGACCTGACTTCGAGTTTATGACTAACAATGCTCATGCTCAAGTCCGTAGCTTTGTAATTTTGAACTCAATTCGGAAGACAAGGGAACTCCTGGATCAAGTTTTTGTGAGAAATTTGCCTTCGTGGAGGAATTTTTCGATGAAACTGTCGGGTATTTGCCTTACCTGGAGAGGAAAACCACGAAATCCTCCCATGGTTAGCCTGACAGCAAGGGGACTCTAACCCATTATCCGTCTACTACTGAGGATATTTTATGTTAGCCGTGTGTTCGGTGCGCAACCATCATTGCATTCCCGCAACCATCATTGGCTTCGCTGTCAGGCACACTAACCCCTCGGCCACCTGGTCGGCTAGATTAAGACAGGCAGGTACGCACTTTATTTACGTTGCACTAGAGCTGTACAGTGGGTTATTAGCGACGGTCTGAGAAACATCCCTGAGGATGATCCGAAGACAAGCCATCACAATTTTGATCCTCTGTAGAGGGGATGGCACCCCCGCTTCCGCAGCCAGACGACCAGCATGCAAAGCAGAGCACTTTACGGTAGAGCAGTTTAACGAGGACCAATAACGCACACCCTCGGTCCCTACGCAGACTGATCCAAGTGGTCACCCACCCGCACACAGACCGCACCCAGTGATGCTTGACTTCGGTGATCTGCTGAGAACCGCGTCTTAACGATCAGTCTACTGAGGGACGGTGACGGTCTGGAAAACATCCCTGAGGATGATCCGAAGACAGGCCATCACAACTTTGATCCTCTTCAGAGAGGATGGCTCCACTGCTTTGGTAGTCCGACGAACTGCGTGTGAAGTCGAGCAATTTGTGGTAGAGCAGTTTAAAGAGGACCGATACCGCGCACCCGCGGTCTCTACACAGGCTGATCAAAGTGATGACACTCAGCCAGTGATGCTTGACGCTCTACGGGGAACCGTGTCTTTACGATTAGTCCACTGCGGAACGCCTAGATTAAGATTTAACTAACTAGTTTTAATAGTTCTCGCATGCAAGGTGAAGTGAGAAAAACAGATTTAAAGACAAAATTTTTAATAAATTTTTTTAATCAACGTACTTCAGTTTGCATATAATTCAAGTTTAGAAAATAATTGTGCTTTTTCCTGTTTTCATTGAGAGAGTTTCACTTCCTTTGCTGTATCTTTTTTTAAAATTCTTTTTTAGCAACATCTTACACTTGATGTCAAACTTCTCAGAATAAAATAGACCATAACAAATATTATTTTCAACAAAAAAATGGAAAATTTTATAGGTCTGACCGTGAAAGTTTTCATGGTTTTCCTCTAACTGTAACGCAATTGGGGTTAGTTTCATAATAAAAGTCGCCCACAACGGCGAAATTTCTCCCAATACTTGATCCAGGAGTTCCCTTGGATTTAAATCCTATCTTCTAGATTGAATTTAAAATTACAAGGCTACGGAATTGAACTTTGGTAGTCATAAAGTGAAAATTGGGTCGGCTGTTCAACGTCGGTTAGAAAAGGAAATTTAATAGTTTTTAATCGTCGTGTATATGGTTCAATTAAGTATAAACAATTTAATAATGTCGTAATCCGGAGGTACGAATTTCGGCTTGTTATCTTTTATGAGTTTTAGTTTTTATTTTGTTTAATAAATCTCTAACATGTTCAGGCATAAAGTATTATTATTCAAATATATACACTCTATAACAAAAAATTGACGCACCAAAAAGGAGCTGTCCGATTGAATTGGTGGATAGGAAGACAATGTAAAGAATAGTAAATGATTAAAATTTCAGAACAATTGAATAATTTATTGCAGAGTTACAGTAACAAGTTCAATAAGGTGTTGACCCGCCTCTAGCCTGGATGCATGCTGCCACACGGCGTGGCACAGACCGATAAAGCTCCCGGATGGTCTCCTGTGGTATTTCTTGCCAAATTTGATCCAATTGTCGAACGAGGTCATCAACATTCCGTGCCAGATGCAATCTCCTTCCCATCATATCCCAGACATGCTCGATGGGAGAGAGATCTGGTGATCTGGTAGGCCAAGGAAGAGTTTGACAAGCTTGCAGTCAGTTCATAGCAACACGTGCCGTATGTGGTCTGGCATTGTCCTGCTGAAAAACCAGCCCAGGGCGCTGCAAAAGGAACGGTAGCAAAACAGGTCTTAGGATGTCGTCGACGTACCGCTGTGCAGTAAGTGTACCTCTAATGACGACCAAAGGGGTCCGGCTGTCAAAGGAAATGGCACCCCAGACCATAATGCCTTGTTGAGGGCCGGTGTGGCGTGCAATAGTGAAGGCAGGATCCCCCCTCTGCCCTGTGCGTCTCCAAACACGTCTTCGATGATCGTCAGGACACAGTTGGAAGCGGGATTCGTCGCTAAAGACTATACGTCCCCAGTCGGCATCATTCCAGCCATATCTGTTCAAAACATTCATGCATACGAAATTTCAAAGCAATGGGATGATTGCTTCTTGGTGCGTCGATTTTTTGTTATAGAGTGTATATATATATCAATTTTGGATCTCTAGGAATATGCCCCAGATTGCCTCTCTCCTTTCATGCTTCAATGCGATTAAAATATTATTTTTAATTATTTGGGGAGCTTTTGTTGTTTCTAATGGAGCTTCAAGCACCAGACATTGGCCGTGACAATTAAGTCAAGGAGGAGCACCTATCGTCTGACAAGAGACCAACGCTAGAGTGAAAGTGCGACCTAGCTCAGAATCCCCTTGATCGATGGCAGCATCGCTCACTCATAGGGTCGCTTCCACAATTCAGACATAAACCTAAAAAGGTGGTGGAAATTTTTAGGTATTTTAGTAAATAATCAAAATATCTTTTTTTTATCCTTCGAATTCAAAATACCACAATTTTTGTTCAAACTGAAATGCCCTTTTACAACACTTTGTTGCCACGCTCTTGATCGGTAAACACAAAATTTTTGTGTTTCATCGCCTAAAATAGGAGACCTACAGTTTTTTTTTTCTTGTCAGTTACTAATCCAGTTAGACTGATGCGGTGAATTAAACTGATCCCCTTTGAGTTGTTGGCTACAGCTACATGAGGATAATTTTTTTTGCCAAACTCTTCATTGACCCACGAATATAACTTTCGATACAAATAACATTTGCTGTAGCTGGTAAGACAACATGTCTTTGTGCGACCACCTCGAGCAACAAACGCTTCCAAGTGAAGATTCTGAGCACAAGATTGCCGATACCGATTGAAACAAAACCGAATCTACTTTCATTTCCGATCACAGGAAGGCAATGAAACATTCAGTGTATTCTCGCTGAATTATGGATTGTTGAAGTGCGTAACATTAAGGCCTCTGGTTTCTTAGGACAAGCGCCTTCTCTGTTAAGTTGACGTTACCCTGAAGCCAGCAAAATACTGGTTTATTAGCTCAAGACCTGGTTTCTAAGTACAAGCGCCTTCTCTGGGCGTCAACGTTAAGTTGACGTACCGCTGACACCAACAAAATACTGTTTTGTTAGCTCAGCGTGAGAAGTCGGTCCAACGCAGACATTATCTCGCATTACGCATGCGTTAATAACGTAAACAAATATTTATTTTGAATTTATATTGATTTTGTTATTGTCGACCAGTGCTTTAGAAAACAAATAATGACTTTGTCCAAGAAAAAACACATTATACTTGAGGAAATATTTGTATTATAATAAAACACACTATATTTGAGGGTGCCCCTTGATTCTCGCCAAGTTGTGATCGCGGTTGATCGCCAAGTTGGGCGATGTAGAACTCAATCGTGATTCTGATTGGTTTAGATTTTAGTGTTATATTTAAATGTTCAACGGTATATGTAATTTCAGAGGTCAGTTAGTTCCACGTTGGATACCGGCTGGTAAGGTTACTTTTGCTTCTGGTCAATAAGATTGAAGGTATGTTGGAAGTCATAAAAAGGGACTTCAGAAAAAAATTTCACCGCCAGTCCGGTACCACAGACGCCATTTTCGAATCGAATTTCGCGGAATTTATTTGGCGATGGAGGTACACAGATTCTATTTATGATAAATTTAGACAGTACAGTGGGTGATCGGTTAACGAACATAATCCGTTCCAAGACTATGTTCGCTATCCGAATTGTTCGTTAACCGATCATCGATTCGCCATAGACTTCTATGTGAAATCGATTAATTCGTTCTGGAGACCCTAAAAATTAAATTTAAAAAAATGTATAATTTCTTATTAAGTTTTTTAAAAAATAATACATACATATAGTCTTGCATATTAATCAGTCCTTTTCATTTTTTGCTTATGGGGCGTTGAAGAGCATGTCCAATGNGAGGTACACAGATTCTATTTATGATAAATTTAGACAGTATCTAACTGCTATTAGAGAATTCTGTGCACCTAAATCTGAGGATATTCAAGCTTAATAAAGAAGTGAGTTGTTTTTTTCCTTTTCTTTCTGTGCCTACTCCATTAATTTTTGTTTTGATTCAAAATGCATTTTATAGGGTTTATTAATTTTACTTATATTGGGTTCATTGTAATTTTATAAAGTTTTGGCCGATGTTTTGTTGAAATTTTCCAATGTTTTATTGAAATAACATTATGTTTCGGCCGCCATTCCTGGTACCACGGTGTTCCGCTGAAACAGGAATGGCGACAAACATAAGTCTCCGATTTCGCCAAGGGGCACCCTCAAGTATATTTTTACCGCTAAATGAAGAAAAAGATGAAGAAGAAACTATGTTTAATGTTAAAATCAATATCTTGGCTGATTTTAATGCTCTGTTGGATGTTGTCCGTCATTGCTTCTGTCGTTATCGTTACGTTGTAAGCCAACTTTCAGTTGATTCGAACGTCAGTCGTCGTTCAAGCTGAGCGTTCGGTGACGTATGCTGTCTAACTCACAAATTGACCAATCAGGGGTTAGAACTTGCTTCAAGCTGACGTTTTGTAACGCCGACCTGTTCTAAGAAACCTGGTCTTTACCTTGTATATGTCAATCTTGCACCTAAATACAGATTAGTATAAGTTACTTAAACAGTGATCTTAATTTAAAGCAGTCAAAGCTTTGTCATAACACATATTTTTACTCTTAACAGTATCTTGAGATTGCAAGTAGAGTAGGTGGTTACCTCGGGCTATGGACTGGTATATCTATTCTACAGCTGGCTGATATAGTTGTCAGAATCAACATAGCTTTGTTTTATGCTCTCACTCATTTAAAAAAGGTATAAGTACTATATCCTCTTGATTTTAATTTCTTTTGTAATTTCAGTGTATATGTTTTGTTTGCAAGGAGATATTTTTATACACAGAATTGATGTTATATTGTATGTGCAGTGCTGTATAATTGATATCTTCCTGAGTTACCTTCAGAGCATCTCGGTGACTCAGTTGGTTAAGTCGTCGTTAGTCGGAGAGTTGGGGATAGTGAGTACGATCCCCACAGCCGACAAAACAACCGGTGTGCATGCAGCACGTTAAATCTGTTGGGTTTGAAGATACTCTTGTTGGTTGTGGTGTTGAGTATGTAGAGAGTGGCACCAGCTTAGGCACTGTCCACATCGTCTGACCAGGAACAAGAGTACACGAATTTCTCACCATGGCAGCTAAACAATAGAGCTTTAAAAAATTGGACTAGGTGCTGGGAAATGGTTGGGTGGTGCTTGCGTGTGAATAACTTCAGTTCTAGTGATTGTATTTTCACGTACTAAGTGTCAAACATAATGGTTTCAAGGGGTGATTTTAAATACTCTAATTAATTTGCGATAACAATTAATTAAATAAAGAAATAAGACACAAAAACGTGCTATCATTAAATGAATATTTCATTTACATGTTTGGATTCCTGACTATTAACAAAAAGGAGATAACCATTAACAAAAGGATCATAAATTGGTGTGCACATCTATAAAACTGTGATTTAATGTCTTTCCGAATTTGATGTCTAACAATCCTATAAGTTGTGTAAGCCAACCCTTAGTTCAAGTTAATATTAAATGATTCATATACAATTTAAAGGCTATGCGGAAGCGCCAAACAATAACAAATGCTAAAAGGTTTACGCCAAGATCACTCACCGTTACACTATATTTTTAATCTTCAAAGCAATTTTTGCCCACTATTAAATTTAATTAATAAAAAATAATATCCAATTATTGAAAATTATTTTTTGCACGAAATTATCTTTGGTTAAACGAGTTTCATATGTGACAGCAAAGATGTTTGAATTTGCTCAATTAGTTTTGGTCAAAAACGCAAGAAGCGAAATTATCGATATGGAGAGCAAACTTTCAGCTGCTTTCCCCTTCTGACAACTGACAAAATTATTCGGGCCAGACATAGGCCGGCCATTTAGGCTTAACATAGGGCAGGGTAGCTGCAATCGATATTGCAGCTAGCCTGATTTATGCTAAGGGTAAGAANAAGGTCAAGAAAACAATTCAATTCGTAATCAAGTATATAATCACTTTTTACACATTTTTGTCACATGCTAACTGCCATGAAGTGTATTTGCGTATAAAAAATTTCAGTTTTCATTCAATGATGTAGGTCTGGCTTTCAGGGGTTGTTCTACAATTATACTGGGAGTTAATGTGCCATGTTGAAAGCATTTAATACTATTACTGTATTTTCAACTTGAGTTTTAAACTTATGCTGAAGTTTCACATTGCCTGAATTTTCGAATTATTTTCATTTTAAACTCTTTAATAACTGATAATGAGGATTTACGTACAATTTTTAACATTATTCAATCCTTTGACGGTCAGGGAAATGAGCAGTTTTCGTTTCATTAATTCGCGCAGTATTAGGAGCAAGCAGGTAGCTGTTTTCCCCGCTGTTCTTCCGAAAATGTCACCCTTCTCTGATGGCGATATCGTAGATAGCTCGCCTCACGCGTTTTAAAAATTTCCTAAAGTATTTGTAGTGCATAAATAACATTATAAATTAATTATGAATTAATAAACATTATGAATTAATAAATGATAATTTTTAATAGTAAATTATAAATGATAATTTTTAATAGTAAATTATAAATGATTATAATCAATTATATAAATGATAGTTAATTATAAATATAAGACAGATATTAAATTGAAAGGACTAAATAAATACAACTAATGTAAAACTTTATGAAGCATTTAAATGCAGTAATTACCTAAATACTCTAATAAAAGTCTTCATCAGACTCAAAGCTTGATAAGCTTTCTGTATCACAATCATAATCATCATCATAATTATCTAACTTTCGCTTTTCAGCCAGTTTACTTTTCAAACACCCTAAAAAAACACGCCAAAATACGCATAAAAAGAACAAGGTAAAAAAAATAAATGAAACAAGCCGGAGGGAGAAAAATTAATGCCGGAGGGAGAGAAATTATGAAAAGAAATTCATGGAACCCGTACTGCCATCTGTAGGCAGTAAAACTAACTACGTTTCGCGAGTAGGATTCGTTTTTAACATAATCAATGCAGAATAATGGCGAATGAGCTCAGCTCGTCAGCGCGCATTGGGGAAAAATTTCACAACGCGAGTAGTACTCGTTACTAGCCATTACGGTCGAAATCTTACTCCCGAACGTAATTCGTTTGCGGGCATTATAAAGCACGATTCGATTGCGTGCCGAACCAATACCTCCTAGATGGGAAGAAAGCCGAAGTACGCAAAACGATGACTCAAACAGTTAGGCCCAGATTCGCTGATCACTTCTGACGATGACGGGTTTTTTTTTCTTCCGTTTCTCGACACTTTTTCGTTACTTTTCTACTAATTTTTACTTGCTACAAATTATTATATATATTTTTTTTTGTCTAGATTAAATGTTCTTAAATTGTGTAAAAATGCTTAATATATTTGTTTTCAGAAATGATTAACAATAAAAATAAAGCAACTCTAACAAAAATAACTGATGTGTGAATGAAAAAAATATATTTTTAAGTATTAAATACCAGTTTTATTTTATAAATTGGAAAATTTTGTCTAGCTTTTTGTTTTAAAATGTATGGATTAAAAACAAAGAAATATATTTTTCAAGGGATTTTGCACATTTATTATTATTATAGTTTTGACATAAAACTAAGAAGGGATCTCATTTTTATAATACGATACTTAAATTTTTAGTAGATGATTATTTCGGATTTTAATGATTATGTTTTGCATGTTATTAGAACTAGAAATTGTATCTAAACAATGACATAAAATGAGCTTAGGAAAATTTAGAAAATCAAATGCAGTCTTCAAACAAGGTTTAGATAGA